GGCTATTTACTGGCTCAGTTATCTGCAGCAGAAACTCCAGGAGGCTTGGAAGGGGAGATGAGATACAGGACTTGCTGTGCAGGTCTGTCCTATCACTAATTATTGAGGGGGAAAAAATGATCGGCTTCTCAGTGGAGAAAAACTGTAGAATTAGTGTCTGTAGCGTCATCGATACTTCGATGATTGGAGCTTCAAAATCACTCAGGTGTGAGATTTTTTTACTCCTGATACAATTCCGTGGTCAGAAAAGCAGCCAGTCTTTTATTTAAGCATGTAAAACTCAAAACCTGCCTGTTACAAAATACTCCAGTTGCATTCCCTAGTGCTCTCACAAGCAGTGGATGGAGCGAGAGCTGGCTCTGGCTTTTCCATGGAGCAGTTTAACAAATCTGTTCCTTCAAGGCAGCATTGAGATGGAACTCTAACAGATGGGAAGTCTTAAATTCCTGGCATGAAGGAGTGGTTGCAACACTGCAGACTCTCAAACGTTGTTCTTGTATTTATCTAGACAGATTTGTGAGTGGGACTGTACAATCACCACGGTTGGAAAAGACCTCCAAGATCATCCAGTCCAACCATCCACCCACCACCAATACTTCCCCACTGAACCACATCCTCAGTACGACACGTAAGACACATGTGTTTAGGATGTATGTGCAGGATTATTCAGCTAGAGAAATGCTTTCTGCTTGAATAATTCTGCAGGCACTTGCACTCTGCAGGGATGGGATAACTTATGCTGCTTAAGCAGAAATCCAGACTCTGAGAACAATGTGTTACTCAAGACTGCAAGTCTAAAACTTCCTGTACAAAAAGACCACATTTTGGGGTAGAGGGATCAGAGCAAGGTGTGTAAATAACTCTCTTTAGAGGATCCCAAGGAGGACTCAAGAGATCGGACTATAAAAGCATTGGCTATGTTTGGAACTATTTGTCTTTAGCACATTTTTCTTCCTTTAGGAGCATGTGCTGTGCTGGGGCAACAGTGGCCATTCACTGCTCCTGCTGCGTTTTCTTCCAGGAAACACTGTGATGCTAATGAACAAAAGCAGATGAAACACCTATTGCAGGTGGACTAGAAGTTGCCCAGGCAGTACTACAAAGTCCTTGCATGACAGCCTTCAGGACTGATGTCTCCAAAACAAGGTCAGGTTGGGTGACTGCCCTGGGATGACCCACAGCGAAGTGTTTTTACTTTTAAGGTTTGCATTTAGTAAAGCCCTTTTAAAACCTGGCTTAACTTAAGCGAGTGTTTACATCTCACCTCACCAACTTGAGCCTAAGGAATGGGAGTAGAAACACAACCTATAATTTTCCTCTGACTCAAGACATCGTGTGCTAGAAGCAGACCAAGGATTCCTGCAGCTTCAGAGTTTGGAAAAGTTACAGTCACCAACTCAAGTTTGTCTTATTCGATTAAAAAAAAAGCCAAAATAAATCTAAAAAGAAAAAAAAAAGTGTTAAGTATAGCTGAAAAACATCAGAGAAGTCCCAGCAGCAAGGACCCATTTTTAACACTGAGTGATCTCAGTATAGGTGTGGTTGGGGCCAGGTTTGCAAAATGTCACTGTGGATTTCTTGTATCACAGTTCTCTGAAGCTTTTATGGACGCTTCTTTTTAAGTGTAGCAGTTAAGTGATAAAGCATGGACTTCTACTTTTGAAAGTAACACCTATCTTGAGCATTGCTCCCTAATTCATCTGCCTTCTGAAGCTAATGAAAGATTTAACTCTGGAAGCTTTTTAGCTTTTAGCACATGAACTCGCCCACAAATAATTTCAGCAAAACATGTATTTTCCATCTGATCCTGCGTGTCTGTTTCCGTGCCTGACATCTATGTATATTTGATATTATCAGATGCATTTTTGTAGCTTTATGCATATACTTGTTAATGGATGGCCATGGAAATAAGTCTAGGTTTCATGATAGCGTGCGTGATTGTATTCAGCACAAAAACACATCTTTGTGTGGTCATAATTTGGTGAGGTCTGCTGGCCCCCAGTTCCATCGAGCTTGGTACTTGCATTGCACTAGAGCTGGCCCACCTTCATCATAGAATCATAGAATGGCTTGGGTTGAAAAGGACCACGATGATCATCCAGTTTCAACCCCCTGCTATGTGCAGGGTCACCAACCAGAAGACCAGGCTGCCCAGAGCCACATCCAGCCTGGCCTTGAATGAACGTACATTCATTTTTTCTTTATGTATGCTTGCTTTGGCGTTGCTAACAATGCTTGTTGCTCTGGAGGCTGCTGGGTGACTGAGCTATTGTCTTCTGAACAATGGTGCACTGCCGAAGCATGCTGATGATACAGGAGGTTGCAGTGTGCCAGCAGACTGCCACTGCAGCCAGGCTGTTTGAGAACCATGAGCCAGTGCTTTGTGGTGCTGCTGCTCTGCAAAAACAAACTGACCTCCCCCTGGAGTCATGCAGTGTGTCTGAGTAAGGCCTGAGTAAAGCTGAAGCAATTCTTGAATTGCTGTTCATGGCACGGAGTCCCACACAGGATGTGGAAGAGGTTTTTTGGGTGAGATCTGTGGAGCCTGCGTACATATTGCCTTATTGAGCAAGAGAGTGGGTCTCACTTTTGGGAAAACCATCCGTTGTCTGTGCTGCATCCGTGGTCTGAGTGCAGGGAAGCTCAGGGTGTGCTCTGCCCTCGTGTGGCCCCAGAGGGGCTGCTCTCATTTCTGCTCCAGCTCTGCTTGCTGCAGTGATACCCCACTCTAAATGCTGTGAAGGTCCGTTCACTTCCAGCTCTTTTCAGATGTTGCACTGGGCATTTCCACAACTGGTACCTTGTATTAAGTACTTCCAGCAAGCCGTATTTCAAGCTTCCTTTTGACTTTGCACAGATATAGGAGAACTTGGATTTCTTGTGGGCTTAGAAAACCATAAGGACTAAAGGGACAAGTTTTTTGAATAGGAATGTCAGCTATGTCATGGAAAAGCAGGCGAGCCCTGTGCCTGGTGGGCACTTCTTGCTGGGGCTCAGTTTGAATCTCAGAGCACATTAGCTGGGAGCAACAAGAACAGAATGAGATGTGAGCTCTCCTGAAAACAGTCTCTCTAAGCCAGTTTGCTTATTGCTATTACACTCCATCAAAATGCAATATATGATCTTGACCTAGGCATCAAATGTAAAACTACATTTTAAAATCCAGAATACCTTGTGAGATGTACACAAAGCCTCAGAGCCCTGCTGGCACAGCCTTTGAAGCTGCTGCAAATGTTATGTGAATTATGGCACTTTAATTAAACTTATTGATCGGTCATCTAGTGAGTGTCAACATGTTAATGAAGGCAGCCAGCAGCAGTGTGGCTGCAGGAGAAAGCAGGCATTTCCCTTAGCAGAAGGTATAATTGTATTTGGCAGATGGAGCTTTGAGCCCAGTGAACCTAGTGATAAACTGGATTAATTTTCCCTTTAAAGAAAGCAACTAATGTGGCTGAAAAGGAGCTTTCATAGCCATCAATTCATGCAGAGATGTGTGTAGAGGAGGAGAGTTTAATCCTTTTCAAGACTCTTCTTGTCTTCTCTTTCTAGGTGTTTTTGTACACGTGCACATGTGTAGAAGCTGATGCCTTTGGTACAAGCACTTAACAAGTATTGATTCAATATCAGGAGCTTGGGATGTGACAACCGAGAGGCAAATCTGAGGATGGAAGCAGGAGAGAGGAGTATTTTTAGACCATTGCTAGTCCTGAGGAAACAGAAAAAGCCAACGCAGTGTCTCTTTGGATGTCATTTTTGCTGCTTTTTGTGCTTAAAAATAAAGGCAAGGTTAAAAATCCACTGTTTGAATCCAAGTGCAGGAGTAGCCTGTGTAACTGCAGCTGTTGCCAGTAATCTAGCTATGTAATCATGGCACTGTGCATTCAAATAAACATGTGGAGTATCCTCCTAGTGCTGCCAGCTCAGTTTTAAATCAGTTTCATGTTAACTGGTCTAAGAACAGGAGATTTCATGCGCTTCCTTTCATGAGAAAAAGCACTTTTGTGTACTTTCTTCCTGCACAGCAAAATCTAACACCCAAATGCACTCAGGCACAGAACACTAATGGCATTCATGCCACAGAAATCCACATGGATTGTCAGCTGGAAAATGTTTTGCAGCAGATTTGAGGGTTCCTGACCTGAACACCCCAATTTTTTCTGTTCCTGTTTTCTATTTGGGCCATTTTGAATGGGGTTTGAGCTTACCAAAGCCCTCTGATTATCAAAACTGGGTGACGTGCAAAGCTAAGAACCGGCCCTTGCTTCGGTCTGGTTTGAGCAGGAATGCAATACAGAAAAAGGCTCCGATTTAAGCAGCGCTGCTGCAACGCGGTGCCGTTCCGGTGCGCCATCTCCTGGCTCTGGATTCGGGGCTTTGGCTGCAGTTGGGCTTTTCCGCTTAGCAACGTGTGAACGACTCGGCTTCCCTCTAGTGGTTCTCCTTAGCAATTTCTTTTTCTTCTCAGGCTATTTTTGACCATTTCTAGGGTTTTTGTTGTTGTTGTTATTTCGATGTTGCCATTGAAAGATGCTTCGCTGTTCTGCTTAACGCCCTCGTTCCCAGGCTGGTACCTCGTTCCCAGTGTTAGGGTAGAGACCCTAAGCATCATCAGGCTGAGATAGGAATAAAGCTATGGGCTGGGAGAGTATTCCAGATTAAATGCCACTTCTGAAGTAAGGGGATAAAAAGTGAGGGCAAAAACGAGGAGGTAATCTGAAACTCTGAAGCTCTGTAGATTGCATAGATGAGCAAAACAATCGTGTGACTTCAGTACTGACAGCTCTGTGCAAAGCCATCTGTTCTTCGTGCTTCAATATTGGTGTGAAATGAACTCCTTGTGTACGTATGAACGTCTCCTTGAATCAGCTGCAGTCTGTGCAGGAAGCCAAGCTGTTGGGTTTTCTTTGATGCCACGAAGCGAACGAGGAAGAACGCAGCAAAATCGAAGTTTTTGTGCAGAGATGGATCTCAGCCTCTGACCACCAGCATTTATCTTTCAGCTTCCTGTTCTGTCTGGCTGGCTGAGGCTCAGACAGAATTTAAAAGAGTGGCCGAAGAAAACGTGACTTTGCCTTGTCACCATCGCCTGGGCCTCCTGGAGCAAGGCAGCCTGGACATTGAGTGGCTGCTGCACACGTCTGAATCGGTGCAGAAAGCGGTAGGTTCATCCACAACCTGCTGGGAAAACAGCCCAACAGCCCTACTGCTGTGTTGGCATCAACAGCAGCCATTGGTTTAAAGAGACGTCTGTGAAGTCCTTTGCAATTTATACTGAGGAAGTAAGCAGAACGCCTAGCTGACGTGTTTAAAGTGTGTGAAAGTTAATTGATATTCATTTATCCCATAATGAGGAGGTAGTGATGCAACTGTGTTTTCTTTAAATCAATGGTATTATTTAATCAGTCGTCTCCAGATAAACCTCAGAAGTACCCATCAGGCTTTCAGAAGTTCTATTTCATAGGCACAGGCTTTCAAATCTTGGGGGTGGGGGAGAAAGGATAGTCATTAAGTACTTATAAAATCAGATCTGCAATAACTAGAATCAGCTGGAATGATTGCTTTGCTGTTCTAGTTGAACCTCGCCACAATCAGTGGCTACTTGTGGCATCAGATGATGCCTATTTTGATGCTGGTACAAATGCTCAAATATGAACCTTTAATGCAAATATAGTTCATGTATCAGCCTTAGATTTGATATCCAGGTTTAATTTTCCACCTTGCTCTAGGCTTCCTGGGTGACCCCAGGTAAGGCACTCAGCTATGCAGGACCTTAGCCTGCAGCTTCTGGAAAGACTTTGTTTTGTTGTTCCGTACAAAAGCAAAATTACAGCTGTCCATCTCTGCTCCTCAGGTGATCACCTACTCTGGAGGCCACGTTTACGATGACCTGAATGAAGAACAGAAGGGCCGTGTTTCATTCACCTCCAACTTCCGTGCTGGAGATGCATCCCTGCAGATCATCTCCCTGCAGTCTAGTGATGCAGGGAAGTACATATGTAAGGTGAAGAACGCTGGGCAGTACGAATGGGCTCACATCACCCTGAAGGTTGTAGGTAAGATCATTTTCTTGTTCTTTCAAAGACATATATAGATATATAGATATCAAGGCACATTTCCTGTAGAGAGATTGATTACATTAGGGTATAAATACACACAGACATCTCTTGATCAGGTTTCAATAAGTCTGTATCAGCCTTTGCATTTTTTGGCAAAGGACAGAACACAGGAAGAGCCCAGAGAACTATTCTGTGGTAAGTGCACCCACTTGCAACATCTCCTTTCTAAATTGTCCTATGATCTCATCATGCAAACTAGAGTGATATCCTAGCAACCATTACTCAGTCCAGAACTCTCACTGAGGACTCTGAGTTTGTGTCCCTGGAGCCCAAACTGATCCAAGTCAGTGAAGGTGATGGATAAGCCACTGGGGTTAGCATTTCTCTTCCCTGATTGCAGTTGATTGCTTGGCATTTGGCACCTACACTATCACCCCATGGAAGTCCTGCTGTGACCTGCCAGATCCTGTGGGGAGAAGGAAGAAATGGAGAAGCAGGGGGAGGGAAAGGATTTCAGGGAGAGGATATTCTCTAAATCGTACCTAGAAGAATGCTTTGATACAGCTCCATTGGCACAAGTATCCATGAAGCAGACTGACTCAAAACAGAATGTGTTCCTTCTACTTCTTACACTACAAAATAGCACAAGGTTGCAGTTAAAGTCCACTAACAAACATCGCTAGTGTAAATAATAATAATTTTTAAAAAGGGTTTTCCACCAAGAAAATAATCTGCTGCGTCTGCACAACCTGTGTTCTGTTTTCTACAGAGAAACCCTCCAAGCCCAAGTGCTGGCTGGAAGGAGAGCTGTCAGAAGGGAAAGACCTGTCCCTGCAGTGCCGTTCTTCCTCAGGCACTGCGCCCATCTCCTACCGGTGGCAGCGCATAAATGAGGAAGATGAGAAAGCTGAACATCTCCCGCCTACGTCGAGAGTCAGTAAGTCACTTCCTCTTAGAGCTCTCCATGTGTTGAAAGCCAGATAACCACCCACAGGCACGCTGTGTGTCCGTCTTGCAACCAGGGAGTGCGTGCTGGCAGAGAGAGCAGTGCTTTACCAGAACTTGGCTACGACAGGATGCTGTACTGTGCTCCACCCTGAGCGAGGAAGTGCACAAGTTCTCATGTTTTGCAGAAGATTGACAAATGGTCTTTCCTGAGTTATCGCTGATCTCCAACTGATTTTGATCTGCAAGTTCAGCGCTCGTTTTTTTGTTCCATCCATCCGTTCTTAGTCTTTTTTTGATTAATCTGAGGGTTGTTTTTCCTGTTTCAGACATTTCTAATCCAGGTCAAGTCTTACTGAAGAACCTCACTCAGATGAGTACAGGGTTGTACCAATGCATGGCCACCAACGAGGCTGGACAAGAGAGCTGTGTTGTTCGGGTGACAGTGCAGCGTGAGTATTGCACCTAACTGGTATTCTCACCTCTGTATGAGCAATGTAGGTCCTCAGCTGACCCACTTCACTGCACGAACCCTTATCCACACCTTTGCCCTTTTGTACTCCAGTCACATGGAACAGTTCTCACTTGCTCAGCAGTATTCCATATAGCCTGGAGTGGTAAATACACTGTTTGGGCTCAAATGTTTTGGTCTATCAGAAATATTGATTTTGAGAATGGCCAACAGAGTAACAGGGAAAAAACAAACAAACAGGTGAGATGGTTTGTCAAGCATCCAGCTGCTAGTTAGCTCAGGCTGGAAGGATTCTATGATTCTATGATTGCATGAGATTATTGCTCAGTATAAAATCTCTGTGGATAGTCCGTCATTGAAGTAATGTGCAAAGTGAAAAAGCAACTTTGGGCACAGTTTGGTTTTAATCCAGATTCAATATATTTGGCCCAAGCAGTAGAGAATAAAATCGGTATCTATGTGATTAATCACATCACAGGTGTGTAGGTATCTAGGTGTTATGGCTTTGCATATGCGTGCAAGGAAATGGGTGGAGTTCAGCACAGGCATTGACAGTGAATCCAAACAAACAATGGAATTTGGGAGGCTTTTGTGTGTAAATCTCAGGGGAGATCAGAGGGAACCTGAATTGTTGAAATAAACGACTGCTGACAAAGATCTCTTCTATGGAGATTCCATAGCTTTGGAATGTATCTGCCAAACCAGGCCTGAAGTAGCTGCATTATGGTCACATAGCAAGGAAAACCTGCTCCCCTCAGGCATCTGAAATGTCCTGGCAGCTTTTATGTCAATTGAACTGAATTGGTTTAGAACCTCATTTTGATTTGCTAAAGCCTCCACAGGGACAAGCCCTAAGGAAACAACTCACAGCCAAACCCAACCTCACCACTCTTATCAAAAGGTTTCATGCAAGTTCAGCCAAGGGCTCAGACACATTGGGAAGTGTTGTTTCATTAACTTCCCTATTCTGAATGACAAATGCCTTGTATTGGCACAGCACAGTTTTCCCTTCTCCAGTCCTCTTTGTCCTTCTCCAGTCACTTTTTCCCCCAAAACTGAATAATTCATTCTGTAAGCAAACAGCGAACATTTCAGGATTCATACCTCATGGGGAAATATCTGTAGTTTACTCTCTTGCCTTTAGAAAATTGCTTGGTACTTTTCCTTGAGCGTGGGTTGTGCTGTCTGCCTCTATTATGCTTTTTGTGGTTCTGGGCTCTTACATAAGGATTTTTCCTCCCCATCTCAGATCTGACTCACAGCCGAAAGCATAGCTCCTGTGATCCCACCCTTCTAGAAGCGAATTCTTTTCTCAGTATTGTCTCATGTTTAGAAACAATATTTAAGATAAATTGGCTCAACTGCATTGAGACACTTAAGTAGTCTAAATTCTGATTTATAAACAGTGATATAATTTCTAGTGTGAAATAGAACGTGTCTATTTGGCCACTACTGAGAGTTTACCTGTTAATCTGTTTATTTTTTGGACAACAGATGCCCAAAATATTGGCATGATTGCTGGAGCGGTTTGCGGGGTCGTGGTGGGACTCTGCCTCCTGTTCCTGGTGGTGAGGCTGACAATAAGAAGGAAAGAAAAGAAGAGGTATGAGGAAGAGGAGGCCCCAAATGAAATCAGGTAATACTTTTCCCTTAATCCCTCCTGTCTTTCAGTCTCCTGTACACCCAGCATGCTCCAAATTAACATCTCTTTTTGCTCCAGGTTTAAGTAACCCAAATATTGGTTTCTTAAAAGATCGTTCTATAAAGCTTTTACAGTCTTCCTGAAACGTCACTGACAAGTTTCACAACTCTTAAGATTTCTGTTGGGAATGCTCTGAGGTTTTCATGGTCTTTCCTGAGTCTTCTGTGCAACTGTGCTGCTGGACTGAGCACAGGGTGAGAAACCCTTTAAACCTCTGTTTGCAGAGCTGGGAGGCCTCACCCCTGATCAGGTGTCCCAAGAATGCTGACACATGTTCTTTGAACTCATCTGTGTGTGAGCTCTGCCACTCACTCCTCTTGGTCTTCAGCCAATTGAGCTCAGGGAGCAAAGTTATAGGGAAAAATATATATATATATATATTTCCAGGAATGAGATTTAGCTGCTCCTGTCCCTAAAGAACCCCCTCACCTCATTCCACCTTATTTCTGCCTGCCCTCATATGACACCTACATATGGTTGAGCAGGCATCTTTATAATCCATTCAGCAGCTGACTACTCTTCTGGTGGTCAGGTTGCTGGTATGGCCAGCAAGAAGGCAGTCTCTGCTCATTGCTTCCCTTGCATTTCTTCTTCTCTATACTTTCAACCCTTGCATGCCTTTTTATTCTTATCTGAGCCTCTTCCGTCATCTTTTCACACCTCTCTTCCTGGGCTCAGTTACTGTGCTATTTTCACTACTCACATTTTTTAAACCAGCAGAACAGGTCTCTGCTAGTCTTGTATAGGTAATTTGTCATTATGAATAAAGATAATAGAGCAGACAATTCTGTCTGAACTGTTTGCACTGACACTGGGCATTTGTTCCACGGACTTCAAATCCACACACAGAGAGCCAGTTGTGACCACAAATCCATTTGGCCAATAGCTCTGCAGAGCTACAGCAAATTCGATCTATGAGGTTACTTTGCACAGAATTCAGGAAACCCACTGCCTTGCTCAAACTTCTGGACAAATGTGCCTTGGTGTCTTCAGCAGGCAACCATTGCAGCACAACAATTCAGGGTAGTAAAATGTGTAATTGTTTTTGTTCTCGTGGTATGTTTGCAGAGAAGACGCAGAGGCACCCAAAGCCCATCTTGTCAAGCCCAGCTCCTCATCCTCTGGTTCCAGGAGCTCACGCTCGGGTTCCTCCTCAACCAGGTCGACAGCCAACAGTGCCTCTCGCAGCCAGCGGACTTTGTCAACTGAAGCTACTCCCCATCTGACTCCTCCACAGTACAGCCAGAGGGAGATGGGAGGGAAGGAAACAGAGCCAAAGAAAGTCGACTATGCCAACCTGATGAAAATGGGAGCCACGCTGGTCATGGTGCCTGCCCAGAGCCGAGCGTTCCAGACCGTGTGACTGCTCTGACTTCTGCCATCCAGAAACACACCACGTACCACCAGCCACATAGGAGTTGTTAGATTAGCTAGTTACCTCCCTGGTCAGCTTAATTTTAGTCACCTGTGACAATTCGCACCACAAGAAGCCCTCCCACTCAACTCTTTCCCAGCACTTGAGGTTCTGAGATGGGTTTTTTTTTTTTTTTTTTTTTGTTAAAAGAAAGATAAAATTGAGGGGAAAAGGGAGCCTTCTTTTTAAAGTACCTTTTTAGAAAACAGTGAGCATTTTAAAACTCCAGCTGAAAACAGTGTCAGCTAAGCGCTGTACAAGAGAAATGAAGCCAAACCTCAGGATTTTTTTTAAAAGGGATCAACAGAGACAGAAAGACATCTAATGTTCCAGTGAGGTTTAGGGGGAAGGGGAAAATCTCCTGTACTGTTTCTGGAGAAGTTTCTAGAAGAATGCATAGTCTTACCTGAAGACCTTGAGGCAATGTGTCTGCTGAGGGTACTCTTGTGGTCAACCTTGAAGGGAACTGACACATGCTTGCCTTTTTTCTGCATTCAGTCTTCTAGGGAAATACTTCTGGAGGCTGCAACTAAAGCAGAAAGGAAAGGTCAAGAGATACAGCACAAAGGCATGTATCTGAACTCACTTCTATACTAAAGGGAAAAGAGCCCACATGTCAAGGAAGCAGAGATACTTCAATTGCTAGGATGAGATTCATGATGCATCCAGAGAAATACGGCCAGGAGCCTGACTGCTTGTATGGACAGCACTGAAAAGCTGCAGTAACTTCACCAGAGTTGTATCTGTGTCACATGAGCCTTAGTGAGATGAGAATTGAATGCTGAAGCCAAAATGAAGGCATGCCTCAAAAACTGAGGGCTGCTAACCAACCAAAAAGCCTGGAGGAATGTCTGAAGATGTCTTTGCTGCAGCCAGGTTGTGAATTCAGCAGTTTAGGGTGAGCCATATAGACTTCAGAGAGCTCTTCCCAAAACTGAATGAACAGCATTCCTGGACCGACCTTCACACATCCAGGTAAGACTGAAGATGGAGTGAAAGAACACGTCACGAAGAAAATACACCAGGGACAGGTAAACGTTAAGTGCAATGCTAAGGGAAGGAAGGTTTACTGCCATACACCAACCTGTAGGCCCTGTGCTATTCTCAAGGCTTAAACCTTAGCAGGACTCTTAAAAAAAGCAGGAATCATGAAAATACTTTCTGTGATTGTGTGCCAGAATAGACATTTTCAAGGGATATAGTCTTATGCTTCAATCTGAAGGCCAATAAGAAATGATGGGCAATAGGGACAGGCTTCCTGTGGGGGCAGATGGCCCCAGAACTGTTTGTTTATACTTTCCTCTGAAGGACTTGACTCTGACCACTGCTACACAGAAGACACTGAGCTTGTAGGTTCTAAATTCTTTTCTGAGACCCATCATTCCATTTATTTGAGATCTCAGAAGGTCTGACTGAAACGAGGCCATGTTTGGGCCGCTTCCCTATGAGAAATAGTTTTCAAATTTGCCCTGCGCTATCTGAGAACTTCTTTTCCTAAAGGAATCACCATCCCATGTACTGTTTGCTCTCTGTACTGCAGTCAGCACACAACCCATCCTCAGAAGGCCAAAATACTGTTTGTTTTGGGGGGGGAGGCCTTGAGCCACCAATTGATAGAAAGGAATCAGCTGTTTGATAAGCTTTTACTTTCACCAGTACTGGGTACTGGGTCATTTTGCCTAGGCACCATTTCAGAGCCACGCTCCTGGGTCAGCTGTGCTCTGGTGGATTTGGTTGGAGGTTGCAGTTGCTCAGTGTCTGTGACTCCTTTTTTTGTAGGCCCTGAAGGCATTGGCACTGCTCCTAAGTGCTTCCAAAGCATTCCAGGTCTAGGATTTGTGAAGTTTGTGGCTTTTAAGTTTGCTGACTGTGATGTCACCTCAGCAGATTATCTTTGACGCCTATCCTATGCAGAGTAAACCAGGAGTGAATTTCTCAGCAAACAGCCCAAGGAACCCATACCTCATTAACACAAAATGAGGATAACAGTCCAAACAGTCAAGCTGGGTAACCAGCATAAGTACCTAATACTGGAGGTTAGTCTGAGTCACAGGCCAGGCCTGCAATTAGCAAAGGGCACTGTGCTCCATTGCAGCCTGGGGGCTGCTTGGTGCCAGCAAGCAGAATTACCCCCAACCTGTGCCCTCTTCCATGGAGAAAGAGTTCATTTAAAAGGTATCTCATTTCCAAAGGGACGTTTTCTGGGCTCCAGAAAATCAGGAGTTGCACAAGGGAAACAAATGAACCATAAGCCAAACTTGATTGTGTAAAATAGTGTGTTTAAAGCATTTACTGTCATATACCAGTTATTACTAGTGTGATTAAATGCATACAATGTTATGTAGCTTTCTTATGTCTAAGCAGCTAAACTGAGCTTACATCTCTTCTACCTGCTATAATTGGTGTACTTGTACTGTGTCTGAACAACTCAGAGGAAAGCAAATATTTATTATTGATTCCTTTGAATCAATGATTTCATATTTTTTTTTTGGTTGTTTTGTAAATAAATGCGCTGCAGCTGAAGTGCTACAGCTCAACTAAACCCGTATCCACGCTCCATCTTCTGTGCTTAGATACTGCATGCTGTCAAGTTGAATCAAAGGAAAAAAAAGATAGAGGTAAAAATAGTATTTTTAAGCTAACGAGGACTATGTGTATATTTGTGTAAAAATTGCAGGAAAGCTGCAGGTTTTTTTCCTGGAGATTTTTTCAGATCTAGATTTTGCAACGTGGTATGAATTGTGTGAAACCGTGTTGGGGTGAACTGAATTTGGACTTCCACTCAACTACTTTACCTGAGATGTTATGGCTGAAGACATCGGTGCTGCAGGCTAATGTGGTAAATACTGCCAGTGCAGACACAGCCCTGATAAACACCTCCCAGCTCTCCTACTCCCACATACACCAGCTTGCTGCTGAACCATCCTGTGCCTTTCAGCTCCATCTCCTGAGCTGTGCATGAGATGGCGACGAAACCTTGAACAATCAAGAGAGGCATTTAGACTGCTGAGATCTTGGTTGCAGATAAACACTTAGAACCAGCTAACAGGAATCTCCAGTCCCAGGGATGTGGGTGGAACTCAGGCTAACTCAGTATGGCTCTGGTTCATTTCTCTTGCAGTGGTTTCAGCCTTCTTTCCCCTGGGGGCGTTTTGCAAAGAGATCACGCAGCATCAGCAATCTTCTCTACAGAAATCTGGGAGTAGAAGTTGCAACATAATTAGGCAGTATTTAAACCCTCATGACAGCAGTGGTCTCATAGGTGTGTCCTTCTGTCTGTCCCTGATTGATGGGGAACGGCCACGCTGCTGCTTGCTCCTGAGTTGATGACGTCCCAAATCCTGATGACGGTTCAGAGTTGTGCAATTGCCTCCTTTTGTTCAGTATCAGGAATCTGGGGTTATTTTTATTTTATTTTTAACCGAGATCACTTTGTACTGCTGCACAGGGGGGAAAGGGAAGGGCCGCATTAGAAATGCATTGTTTTCAAGCTTCAGGGTGTGCAGATGTGAAGTAAAAACTGCCATTAGGAACCATTAGGACCAATAGGAAGCGAGTTTCTGACAGTCCCCACTCTGCCCACTTCTCTCGAGCTGCAGCAAAGCAAACTGGCTTCAGAAATTAATGCTGGGGTTCATCGCTTGGGGAGGGAAAGCATCGTCATAGAATCATAGAATGGCCTGGGTTGAAAAAGGCCACAATGCTCATCCAGTTCCAACCCCCTGCTATGTGCAGGTCACCAACCAGCAGCCCAGGCTGCCCAGAGCCACATCCAGCCTGGCCTTGAATGCCTGCAGGGATGGGGCATCCACAGCCTCCTTGGGCAACCTGTTCCAGTGCATCCAGACTGCTGGGCCTTGGTTTTTTTTTGCACTGTACTGTAAATGGGCGATTTCAGGTTGTTAACATCCTGTAATTTCTAACGCAGTGACTCATTGGCCGGTGCTCTCCTCCCTGCACTGATTCATTGCTGCTCCAGGCTGCCTTCCCCTGCCGTGCACCCATTGTGCAAAGCACGGTTGCACATTGGAATGCCGTTGTTTAATTCCCAAGTGCCAGCAGGGCTATTCTTAGGTCCTACCGACGTTCTGCTCGTGTTTTAGAAAAAAGGAAAACCACAGAGCTGCCCATGCAGCCCCTGCGAGCCGGCAGAGCACGGATCTCAGCAGCGATCTGCACTGGGTGGAGCGGCTGTTGCATTGCAGCCCTGCTCAGCACGGAGAGGGCGGTTCGTGCCCCTTATCTTTACAAGCACAGGGCATCGCTCCCCGCCTTTGTGCTCCTAAATCCACCCCCAGATACAAGCTGAGGGCACAGCCGTGCTGCGCTCCCTCCCTCCCCTTTTCCTGCAGGATCTCATGCGCTCCGTGGATTTGCACCTCACTGCGTTCACCCACAATAAAGCCGGGCATTGCTGCAGGGTTGAGGCTGTTTTCCCCCAAACTCCGCCTTCTATGCTCGGGGACGGCGACCTCCCCCCCCCCCCCGCCATTTTGCCTTCTCCTCCGTCTGCAGCGAGCCGCGCGCCCTGCAAACGAGCTGCCGGCACTGCGATCCCATTGGACGCCCGCATCGCAAGGCGCCTGCTCCCGCGCGCGGAATATGCAAACGATTCAGCTGTACTTTGCAGCCATTGGCTGCCTCCTGCTCCCCCGCGCGCTCGCTCTGCCCCCTCCAGACCACCAGCCCACGCTTGGCGGTGTCGTCATCCGCATGCGGCCGCTAAGAGGCTCTCATTGGCTCCCGCCCGCAGGAAGCTCCGCCCTCTTCCGTTGCGGGCGGGGGGCGAGCCGAGCGGTTGAGGGGGGGGCGAAGGGGAAAGCGCATGAAGGTTCGAGAATACCGGCCGGCCGGCGGCCACGCCCCCTTTCCGCTACGTCACTGACGGTGCGTGTTCCGGTAGCCTGCCATTGGCTGGAAGGGCTGAGGAAGGAGCGAGCGGATTGGCTGGAAGCGAGAGAAGGGGCGGGCGCTTCTGGAAGGTTCTGAAGGGATATATAAAGGCGCCGGGGCGGGAGCCGACCGCTCTCATTCAGCAGCACTCTACCAGCAGCAGTCTTTGTGCGCGTCTGCTGCTGCCCGCGCCGCTCAGGTAGTGGGGCCTACTGTGAGGGGAGGGGGGCGACTCAGGGAACCCGTGGACAGAGGCGGTGTGGAGGGGAGGGGGCAGGAGGGAGAGGGACTTGGGGAGCTGAGAAGGGAGAACTTCTACCGCATTGTTAGCTGCTTTCAGCGGCTGTTGGGGGCTAACGGTTCTCCAGAGTTCCGTTCACCTTGCTCTTCGCTTTTCTCTGTTGCGTTCAGTAGTGGCTGCTCTCAGCTCCGCTGCTTTCTGCTGGGAGAACGACAGGGTGTCAGCGAACTGCACTGTACTGGGGGGGAGGGAGCGATTCTGCAGAGCTGTGTGGCGGGGGATCGTCCGTGCACTTTGTGCCGCTTTGAAGGAGCTTGGGGCTCTGCCAGGCCCCGCGGCTGCCAAGCTCAGCCCACGAGAGGCGGTGGGTCCGTTGCCCCGCGGCCAAGATGGCTGCTGCGACCGCGTGACTGCCGCGGGACATGCTGGGAAATGGAGTCCGTGGCCACGTGCGCTGAGCCGCATGGCGCCCGCGCAGAACATGGGGCCGTCTGCGTTGGGCCTGTGCGCTAGGGAGCGACTAGCGGCAAAGCGGGGCATTGCAGCGAGATACACATCCTTTTATTTTTCTGAGACTTTCGAGTTCATTAGACTAAAAGCAATAAGCAACTGAATCTATGCTTCGATTTTTTTTTTCTTTCCAGACAAGATGTCGAAGGGACCAGCTGTTGGTATCGATCTCGGAACCACCTATTCCTGTGTTGGTGTGTTCCAACATGGGAAGGTGGAAATCATTGCCAATGACCAGGGTAACAGGACCACACCAAGCTACGTCGCTTTCACAGATACAGAGAGGTTAATTGGCGATGCTGCCAAGAACCAAGTTGCAATGAATCCCACCAACACAGTCTTTGGTAAGGAGGCTGCAGGGCTTACATAATAATTGGTGTGTGCAGGGAATTAAGGTTGCCAGTAGCTGTTAGCTGTGTCTGTGTTTTCTGAATTATAACTGAGTTAGTGCTTTTCTTTCAGAGTAAAAGCTCTGTGTCTCAGTACTAAAACTGAGCTAATATCCAAGCTTATTCTGAGTATTTGGGTATTATGTCCTTTCTGACCAGACTGCTTTTGGCACCATATTCAGTGGCCTTGGCTACTCAGCTACTGCTTATCAGTTGCTGTGTTTGCTGTGAGAAAATATTGACAGAGCACACACATCTCCAAGAGATGAGATCTCAGAATGCCTGCTCTGAGGCTTTGGCAGCTTGGTAATTTGAGGTGAAAGGTAATGAAGCTTTTGTACAGTATTTTTAGAACAGATGTTTTTATGCTGGGATTAATACAATTTTACACGACTATTTTTTCCAGATGCAAAACGGTTGATTGGGCGTAGATTTGATGATTCTGTTGTCCAGTCTGATATGAAGCACTGGCCTTTCACTGTGGTGAATGATGCTGGCAGGCCAAAAGTCCAGGTGGAATACAAAGGAGAGACGAAGAGCTTCTACCCAGAAGAAATTTCTTCCATGGTCCTAACCAAAATGAAGGAAATTGCAGAAGCATATCTTGGGAAGGTATGGTCTGGGTATTCAGCCAAGTGTAATAAATAGCTGTAGGCCATAAACTTCTCAGAGATGCACAACTGACTCATTTTCCTTGCTTTTTTGCAGACTGTAACTAATGCTGTAGTCACTGTACCAGCCTATTTCAATGACTCCCAGCGCCAGGCCACAAAAGATGCTGGAACCATTGCAGGGCTCAATGTACTGCGAATTATCAATGAGCCAACAGCTGCTGCTATAGCCTACGGTCTGGATAAGAAGGTATGTTATGGAGTGACAGCCATCTGATGCAGGACTAGTGCACCTGCCAGGTTAATCTTAACGATGGAATTGCATTATGGAAATGAATGTTCTTTTTTCCAGGTTGGTGCTGAAAGGAACGTTCTTATTTTTGACCTTGGAGGTGGCACCTTTGATGTGTCAATTCTGACTATTGAAGATGGCATCTTTGAGGTGAAATCCACTGCAGGTGACACTCATTTGGGTGGAGAAGATTTTGACAACCGCATGGTCAACCATTTCATCGCTGAATTCAAGCGCAAGCACAAGAAAGACATCAGTGAGAACAAGAGAGCAGTTCGTCGCCTTCGTACTGCGTGTGAACGTGCAAAGCGTACCCTGTCATCAAGCACACAAGCCAGTATTGAAATCGATTCTCTCTATGAGGGCATTGACTTCTACACATCCATCACCAGAGCTCGCTTCGAAGAGCTGAATGCTGACCTGTTCCGTGGCACCCTGGATCCTGTGGAGAAGGCCCTGCGGGATGCCAAGCTGGACAAGTCACAGATCCATGACATCGTGCTGGTTGGGGGCTCTACCCGCATCCCAAAGATTCAGAAACTGCTGCAAGACTTCTTCAATGGCAAAGAGTTGAACAAGAGCATCAATCCTGATGAAGCTGTGGCTTATGGTGCAGGTAATTACAGCTGACAAAATGTGTGTTCTCTGTATTAATATGGGATGGGCTTCTCAGTGAGCAGGGTGCTGTCTGAACTGGGTTCAAAGTAGTACCAGTGCAGGTGTGGTTTTTCCCACCTGGGTTGGTACTGCTTTTGAGAGCAGTGAAACTTGGACTTGCAATGATGAATCAGATTCCAAAGCCATTCGTAGTTTCCACCAGAAGTCTACTAATGATGGCCAAAACCTTCCTTGGATGTCTGAGCGAGCTGTGGGGCTAGTTGTAGCATGTGGTTCATCTGGTACAAGGTTCTTAATGTTCTGTTCTCTTTCCACAGCTGTTCAAGCTGCAATTCTGTCTGGAGACAAGTCTGAAAATGTCCAGGATCTGCTACTGCTGGATGTGACTCCTCTGTCTCTTGGTATTGAGACTGCTGGAGGTGTCATGACGGTCTTGATCAAGCGTAATACCACCATTCCCACCAAGCAGACTCAGACGTTCACTACTTACTCTGACAACCAGCCTGGTGTGCTGATTCAGGTAGGTATGCAGCACTCAGATGACCTGACAGGGCATTTCACCTAACATGTTGTCCAATCTGCCAATGATTGATACCTGACGTAAATTTTATGCAAGAGCTCTCGCAATTAGTTACCACTAATGAATATCTGGTTGCAATGATGAAAGTGATTCCTAAGCCATTCGTAGTTTCCACCAGAAGTCGAAAGACATGTGTTGGTCCAAGTACCTTCCTTGGATGTCTGAGCGACCAAGGCACTTCAGTCTAATAGTAGTCCATTATAACTGTGCATAGTGAAGGCTGATGAATTTGTTCCTTCTCTATTGTAGGTATATGAAGGAGAACGTGCTATGACTAAGGACAACAACTTGCTGGGCAAGTTTGAGCTGACCGGTATTCCCCCTGCTCCCAGAGGTGTACCTCAGATTGAAGTAACCTTTGATATTGATGCCAATGGCATCCTGAACGTATCTGCTGTGGATAAGAGCACTGGCAAGGAGAACAAGATCACAATAACAAATGACAAAGGTAAATAACCGTGTGGTTCTGAGGGTGGAACACTTGGCAAGATCCCTTCAGGAAACTGAAGTGTCCAACTTGGATTTGTACCAAGACTGGGTAATAATGTATGTCCTCTGATTATGGACATGAGCCTTGGCTTTTAGTGAGTTAATT